GGGGGCCCCCCCCCCCCCGGGCCACCTGGGTGGGCGGCTAGTGGGTGGGTGCTGCCCCAGCTGGAAGGCAGCACCCAGCCTGATCCAACTGTTCCCCAAACCCAAGTTAGGGCAGTACCTGCCTGCTACCAGCCCACCCAGGCAGCCCCAGGGGGCACAAGCACTGCAGAAGGAAGGACTAGGGGCCCCTCACTGCAGCTCAGGGGTCCCTCAGCCCCCAGCTGTGGGAGATGCTGGCAGGCTCCAAGAAAAATAAAAGGACCAGACTCCTTTGCTGTAACAGTAATGAAAGCCCCTAAATTGAAACAGTGGTTTTTAATCATTGCAAATAAAAACCCACCATTTCAATTTAGGGTCCCCCATCACATGTACAAGGGCCCTGAACATTCTGACTTATCCTCACCATTGTCTACAATTATGCTTTCTAATCCACTACTACTCACTTCAAGGATTGCTCAATTGCAATGACTGCTCCGCCAATATTTGTCTGTGCTAAATAAACATGGTCTCATACAAATCAGTATTCACAATTAGATTGGCACCCAACACTAATCTAACCCTATGTTTCTCAAACTTTTTTAATAGGTGGCCACAATCTAGAAGCACTCTTATCTAGAACACAGTATCCCTGCCAATCTGACTGCTTGGACTGCTCCTCTCCCATTTATAAGCACTTACTATACCTGTTGCAGCTCAGTCAATCACTTACATGGAAAAGTAAGTAAAAAAAAGATTTAACATATACTTATCTTGTCTTTTAATACAATGTAAGGTTGATACAAAGTAAGATGAACCAATATCACATCTCCAGCAAATACAGCTTCAGCAAATACAGCCACTATTTTGGGAACACATGGTCTAAAATAGTACCTTAAATAGTACCTCTAGTACTAGAGCATAAATATGGGAAAATAAACTTGTCTCATGCAGTTGCAGTGTATTCATTACAATATGAGATACTCAGAGTCAAAGTTAATCTTCCATTGCCAAGTGTGAGTGAAATGGCTCTGTTAAAATAATAGGCAGCCAGAAGTTTTCCCATTCTTCAAACCAAAATTTTTATAACATTCAAACAATTTTTGGCAAAGTGTGCTCAGCCACCTTCTCTACTTTCTTTTGTTTCCAACTGGAAAAATAGAAGGATTCTAATGTAGCCACTCCAAGGCTAGGGACAGAAGTTACACATAAACTGGTATAAGTGAGCAGAAATTAGTTTATACCTGTAACAGAACATAAGTTCAGTGCACATAAATCAGTTTCAAAATGTCTGAAGCCAGTTTGAGATAAACCTGGCTGAATGTAGTATCAGACTTAACTGACTGAGATCAAATCAGTCTATGGAACTTCAGTCCCAGGCCCAAGAGAGCGGCACTGTTCTAAAGATGAGCAAAGCTTACTTCTGCACTGCTTCATTCCCTATTAGGTTATTTATTCATTGCTTTTAATTTCTCTGACAGAAACTCCCACAAAACCAATCTTGATGTTGAAAATCACGCACATTCAAATAGTTTGAATATGTTCACTTTTAGGACATGTCTCAAATCTTATCTAAGGTTATGATCCTTTGTAGAGATGGGAGTATACTAAGGGCTGGTTATAATCAAGTTAATCTCACTGGGGATTCTGGCTATAATGTATGAGAAGTTTATGCTGGTCAGTTGTGAATTACTTTATTTTAATATGTCAGAAATGCATAGAGAACAATGGAAGGATGTCTTTTTCCTAGTATAAAAAGGAAGGAAAATAGGGACAGAAAAGGTTTGCCACCTTTTTATATCACACAGTTTGTAGCCGTAGTGCTTGACCATTGAATCCCCAGGAAGATCCCCACTGTGAAAGAGAGGAGTTTATTCAAGAAGGAAAAGATAAAAAAAAATTAGATCCATTTAATCACTTTTACATGTGGTAACTAATAACACAAAGACATTTATCCATACTAACAAGGAAACATACTGTACAATATTGTACAACAAAATCTCTCTGAACTCCTTAAGCAGACATTTGCACTAGAATACCAGAGAAGTCATGCTGCAATACTTCATACTGGATATGTGTTGTAGTTATAGAAACACCTAGGTTAGTTTGTATGCTGACTAAGGAGAAACTCTAAGTTAATAGTTTTCTTAATAGTTTTCTTCCTTTTTTACTTGGGCTGTGGTATAAGCCACACATGGACAGACACATTCTTTTAAAGGTTATGGCCTTCAAAGTACAATAGGACTTCTTATCTCATTGACTGGTTCTGAATGTGTGTGCATTAAACTGAAATCCCCCAATACAAGTCCGTGAATCCTCCTAGTGAGACATCTGCTTTATAACTCTCCTAGCAGTCACCTGCTTGCCATTTGAGAACCCAAGGTCCATGTCATGCTCTACTCCCATGAACCACATGCATCTTCTGGGTTTTCTCTTCAGCTGTGAGGAAACCAGCAAACTCCCAGACTTACCTCTACTGCTCTTCCTATTAAATTAGATGCTTATAACCTTTTAAAACCAAAATAAAACAGGAAAGTATATGTTGTTTGAATAACAAAGGTTTTGATTCTATTTCCTGTTTTCAGTGTCAATGAGTGTATGATGCGCTCAAGCTAGATGTAAATGCATTTGAGTGTAATAACCCTTGGCTTTTATCACTTTTTAAAAAAAAAGATGTTTGACCTACATTATATTGGATGGGTGACCACAAGCGCCAGTTCTACTCCCATTTAAGTCAATAGGAGAACTCCCAATGACTTTAATGATGCAAAATCATGTTGATAGAAAAAAATGTTAATCTCCCAGGATATAAATGTCAGGAACCTGATCTCTAGCTGGAGTTATTAAGAACAATACATTGATCTGCACCAGGTGGGAATTTGGCTCTGAAGTTCTAGCTGGTAATGTAACATGAGCTCACCACAGCCAATCAACTGTGCCACAGGAGCTTTGTGGTTAATTCCCTGTTCTGAAATAGACTTCCAGAGTAGGGACAGACATTACATATAAACCGGTTTAAGTGACCAGAATCTGGTTTAAACATGTAACAAAACAGACTTTTAGTTCACGTAAACCATATGACACCATATGGCTGAAACTGGTTTGAAATATACCTGGTTGAATGTAGTATCAGACTTAACTGATTTGGGTCAAACTGGTTTATGCAATGTCTGTCCCAGACTCCTTCCTGGTTTAAATTAAACCAGAGTTCCCCAGCATCCCAGATGCTTTGCAGCCCTGGATGGGGTTGTTGGCACCAGAGAGCTGGGCTGGCTCCTCCCCGCTGCTCCCTGGCTGGAGCTCTGGCAGAGTTGCCAGGCACAGCAGCGTCTGCCTAGCTTTCCCGTGTCCATCCCCCCCCCCCCCAAGAAGGGGTTCCCCAATCAGAACAGATGTTCAGCACACATAAATCAGTTTGAAAATGGCTGAAACTGGCTTGAGATAAACCTGGTTGAATGTAGTATCAGACTTAACTGATTTGGCTCAAACTGGTTTATGCAATGGCTGTCCCAGACCCCTTGCTGTTTTAAGATAAAGCAGACTCCTCCAGCATCCTGGCATGCTCTCTGGGCTGGACGTGGCTCTCTGCTCTTCAGCAGAGCTGGCCCCTCCCCTCTGCTCCCTGGCTGCGGCTCCAGCAGAAACCTGGGCTGCTCTTCCCTGCCTCCCCACTCCCTGCTAAGCAGGTATTCCCCCCACCCCTCTGCCTTGATGAGGAGTTGTCTGTGTATTAGCTAGCAGACCACATGCTGGCTATGGGCCATGCTTAAACAACAGGCAGAATCAACAGGTATCTGGTAATGTCCCTCTGTTGTTTTCTTAATGGGTTATAAACACTAAGTTAGGGGATAAGAAACACTGTTATAAATTCCCTGTTTAGATAACCAGAGCATCCTGCTGCCATTCCCTCCCCCCCCCATCTCAGTGCTGTGGAAGGAAAGGGAGGGCTGCTCTAGCACCCCCCAGCTTCTAGCCTGAGCCACTGCAGGCGTATGCCTGCATGTCTGGGATGTCTGTGCAGTTACAAACTGGTTCAGCCTAGCCAAGTTAGACTAACCTGGAAATCAATTCAGGCGCAGGCTTTTTGAATCTCTGTCCCTAGCCCCAGAGTGACTTTGAGCAAGTCACATAAATTCACTGTGCCTTCTTTCCTAAACTGTGAAATGTAATGGCATTTCTTTTGTCTATAAACTTTTTAGATAGTAATAATTTTGTGACAGGCTTGTCTTTTACTATGGCTAAGTACAGACAGTCAAAAAGCCCAAGATTGAATTGATTCAATCTTTGCAGATTAGTCTAAGATGAATAGATTGAACAGATAAGCAATGAACGGACATTCATTTTTTATTCTGGAAATGCAGCCATGCAGTAGCTCAAACCAGAAGCTGGGGGACACTAAAGCATGCCTCCCTGCTCATTTGGAGCAGATAGCTTGGGCCAAGGCTAGCCCACCCACCCTGCAAGGCGGGGAGGGGGTTGTGGGGGGATGCACAAAACATCCTGGGATGCTGGGGGACTAATTTAACTTGAATCTGGAGGGGATCTTGGACAGAAGTTCAATAAACCATTTTAACCTAAATCACTTAACTCTGATAATACATGCATCCAGGTTTATCTTAAACCAGTTTCAGCCATTTTAAAAGCAATTTATGTGCACTGAACTTCTGCTGTGTTTTAGATTTGAACTGGTTTCTGATCACGTCTACCAGTTTATGTGTAATTTCTGTCCCTAGCCCAGGGGTTTTATAAAACCAGCTCATGAGGTCCCAGGTCTACCACATGCTAATACATGTAATGCTATTAAATTATAATAAATATTATTAATAGTAATTATGTTCTTATTCAGGATAGCTGGGTGTGCAGGTATAGAGGAGGATTATATTTTTTCTTGATTTTCCCTTAAAAGAAATCATAAAATCTTTATTAGAACAATTTTATCATGTCCTGTTTTTTCTTTCACTAACATGTATGCTCTATGAGGGGCATGGATCATCAGATACTCTGTACGATCAATATAGCTTCTGCATCACAGCACTCGTGAGGTCTCTCATCAAGCTAACAAGCAAATTACCCATGACAGTCTTGGCCAAACTCCTGATAAAGGTTCTGAAACACAATGACACCCTCACTCTTTCTTCCTCCCTTGTAAAATCAATCAGACTTACACTTTAAATAGGCAAGTGGCCTAAAGGAAAAAATTTTCCCAGACTGTCAGGGTCCTGGGAAGGGGAGCTAAGGAGGACCTTTCCGCTTGTCATTTGTTGTTGAGAGAAAATGGGTTACATGGGATTTATAAATCATCAAATACCGACAAATATTTTAAAATAATCTGTAGACAATTGAAGGATCCTTTACACTGCTGCTTGTATTTTGAACAGGCTTTATTTAGGAAATCAGGCCTTTCTGAATTTGCTAAGGTGACAAGTCATTGCTAGAATGTGTTAAATGCAGTTACAGGAATACACGAGGTGACTAGTGTAATTGAGCATGATACATTGGCCTGGGAAATACAAAAAGGCACAGCGTGCTGAAAACCATAGCTAACAGGGCCACAGATTAAAAACCAGCTAGTAAACCTATAAAGACAGTTACAGTAGACCCTCACTGATTCACACGTCACTAATCTGCAGGCTTTCTAATTTTCACAAAACCCCCCCTCAAAATCCTGGCAGGCTCTCTCAATGTCTCAGCAAAGACTTAACAACATATCACTTCATATCACTAAGGCTTCATATCACTAAGACTTCACTGTCACAAAATGCGCGGCAGCTTGAAGAAACATTAACTAATTCAAGCAGCACTACAGTTGTTCAAATAAATGATCAAAGTACGTTTTGTGCTTCATTCTTCTTGCAAACTGTTTGTTCATTTATTCCTTACTTTGAAAAATCTATAATTTGCTACGGGTTTTCCACTCATCAGTGCAAATTAAATGAGACGATGCTGTACAGACTCATAGATTTTAAGGCCTTGAAGGCATTATTGCTAACTTGAGACATTTAAATATCATGAGTCAAGCCTCAAAACTCATGAGATTTACACACACACACACGTGTGTGTGTGTGTGTGTGTGTGTGTGTGTGTGTGTGTGTGTGTGTGTGTGTGTGTGTGTGTGTGTATAGGTCTTTTATTTATCTTCTGGTTTCTGAACCTTCAGGGAGCACTTTGGGTCACATTTTCAAGCTTCTTTTCACAACAATGTGAAGCTGTTGCAAAAAGGCAAATGTCATTCCAGGATGTATCAACAGGAATGTCATATGTAAGACACTGGAAGTAATTATTCTGCTCTACTTGGCACTGGTGAGGCTTCAGCTGGAATACTGTGTCCAGTTCTTGGTACCACACTTCTGGATGGATGTAGACAAGCTGGAATAAGTCCAGAGGAGAGCTACAAAAATTGTAAGTTTAGAAAGCACAAACCTATGAAGAAAAGTTAAAAGAAATGAGCTTGTTTCATCTAGAAAAATCTGAGTGGAGACATGGTAGCAGTTTTCAAATGTATTAAACTTAATAAGAGGATGAGTTGTGAGTTGTTGCTCATATCTACTAAGACTAGAATAAAAAGTAATCAGGTTAACTTTTCAGGAGGGGAGATATGGTGAGATAACTCTAAGGATAAGAGAAGCAGTGAAATAGGTTACCTAGGGAGACTGTGGAATCCTTGTTACCAGAGGTTTTCAAGAATAGTTTAGAAAAGCTTCTGACACTGATTGTCTAAGTCAGTGCTTCTCACCTTGGGATGCCATGAGGTCCTTTTAAGGGTGCTCGGGGATGCCCTTTAGTATTAGCACTGCTAGCTATACAAACACCTACATATGATTTACAAGATAAACCTACATATTTCAAATGGTAACCCATAGTGTCCATAGCATTCTGACCCATTGTGATCCAAGTTCTTTGCAATGAAAGAACTGCTCTATTGCTTTTCCCACAGTCCAAAAACATTTTTTTAAAAAAGGACCAAATGCTAAGAGCTGGCATTTTCTGAAAGGTGCCTTGAGTATAACTATAAGATGAGGTTTTCAGTCCTCAGATCTCTCATTTCTGAACTCTCCTCAACTTTCTAACATTTTTACTGTATATAAAAGTCATTCATACGGACACAGGGCTCAGTTGCACTAGTGTCAATTAGAATTGGCCCCTAGTATAGTATATCATGGCCATGAGGACCAAAATCTGGTTCTATCCATACTTATTACTTCCAGAGCATTCCCAAACCCTTACTGAGGATAGTGGGAACTGTGGATGCTCAGGACTTCTGAAAATTAGGCTCCTCAAGTCAATTCTGAGAATAGATTTATATGCCTCATGTTAAGGCAGAATTGTCAACCTTAGTTGCTAAGTGAAAACTCAGTGCTGCTGAAAGATACCAGCATTATCTTTCATAGATTAAGGTATGCTCAAAACTTCCCTATTGGTATTTATCAATAAACCCCAGTTTAGAAGAACACCTGCAGTAAGGCTCAGGAGAAATGTTCTCGTTTTCCATTTTGATTCAGTTCCGAGCTAGAAAATGAGTCTACAGGTTAAGGACAGTACTAATTGCCTCAGAAATTAATGGAATCACTAACTCATTTCATGTATGCCAGTAAAATGATGACTTCGAGATGACTTTACCTTTCTGTAACTAGTTTCAACCTTTGTCACATTCTAACTAAAGATCTGGTGTCAAAGCTGACAAATAAATTTGTAAAAAATGGGTTTTCCCATGTTTCCTGTTAGTGAAATGGTATACTGATGTGAAGAGTGATGCTGTAGCTGTGATGGTCCTGGAATTATGCAAGAGGTAAGGATTTTTGTGGGTGCTATCTTTTATTGGACCAACTGAATGGCTGAGATAAAGTTAGACAAGCTTTTGAATACCTTGCCTTGCATTTGAAAGCTTGTCCTGCTTTATCCCAACCATGCAGTTGTTCCAATAAACCACAGCACCCAGAAAAATCTTGCCTCTGCTGAAGTGACTCATTTTTTATTGTAAGTTGTAAGAGACATTTATATATTTTTGACTGGACACATGGTTTCTATAACATGCCTCCTAGTCCTAACTGGATAAATATAGTTCTTAGAATCAGGGATCTGGTGCAAATATACATGATTACAAGTTTTAAATTGGCTTCCCACAAATATTCTGCTCGTGTAGATCCAGTCTAGGTAATTTTTTTCCTCCAGAAATCATCTGCTTCACTTAAAGATATTATCACCTAGAGATATTGTATATTGCTTTGACACAGGCTACCTAAAGAAGCTTTGGAACCTCTATCCCTGGAAATTTTCCAGGAGTGTGTTAGACAGACAACTGGCCAGGGTGCTTTAGTCAGGGATTATACTTTGAGCAGGGGCTGAACTATATGACCTTATGAGGTCCCTTCTAGCCCTACTGTCCTATGATCTTATTCTAGTGCTAAGCCTCTTTTTTCCCCCTTATCCTTCACTCCAGGCCACTCAACCCTGCAAAATAAAGTACCAAAATAGCTAACAGCACACAAGAGGGTCGGGTCCAAGTATTGGACTGAAAGCATTTAGCACTAGTTACAAAGGTGGGCAGGTCTCAAGTTATCAGTTGTATTTGAACAAACTCAATATTTACATTAATCAAGATGAGAAATGATTCACAGTCAGACAACTACTTTTTCTTGTGTTCAGATCTGATTGGCAGCATTGGACTAGGCTGCACAATCGATGTCAAGGCATGAAAAATATCTGCCTTTCAAATGAAGTTGTTTGATGAAAGTTTTCATAACATAAAAGGTGCTTCCATGTATTGCAGATTCTTCTAATCAAAAGCAGCACTCAAAGACAAGGTGTTTTTCCCTGCTAGTGGAAGCCAATTAGGTATAGAGACAACAAAACAAGGCAGGACACTATAAAAACTAGATCCACACTTTCCAAAAGCTGGGGTGCATGTCTAGGGTTTGGGTTCATCTCTATGCAGTACATTAAGTGTAACCATAAACAATACAACCAGCTGCCAAAGGAAAGGAGCTTAGGGTGAAATTGATGGCATATCAAGATTTGCATGATTTACTGTATATTACACACAAAAGCAGCAAAAACAAATCTGTAGGACTAGTTGGGCATGAGTCACAAACTAGAAAGACAGGTAGGGAATAAGTCATGTCTTGTAGTTAGTCATTACTATAAAAGGGCAGAACTGGCATAAAGAAGAATTAAGCCAGGAGCCATTTCTCCCCTTGTACATATTTGGATGCTCCTGGCACCAAGTGAATTCAGTTCAAAGGACATTGTATACCATTTTATATGGTAATTTTGCATTGGTGAGGTTTACTTTGTTAATACTTTTAAACATGTGCGCCAAGCAGTTTTGAGTTAAACTACATGTAATAATATATTTTTTTGGCGATATGCATTCATGAGACAGATTAAAAGAAAGACTTTAACTAGCCCAAAGAGTTGCAGAACATACACAGCTTACTTTGCTCTTTGAAGAATTGTAGCTAAATGAAGTCCGTTCCTCAGCAAAAAGGAGATCTGGGTCACAGACCACTTTACACGGCAAGATCAATTTTATATAAAACAGTGGAGGCTGGGCTTCCACAGGAATGAGTTGGGCTGGTCTGATACTGTTGACAGCTCTACAGGTTTGTAGGGGCCACCATAAGAAGCAGACTTATTTTTTGCATGTTGAATCTTTGTTTTAAAATATTTTTTCTTCAAGCAGAAAAGTTGACATGACTACCCCAGGATGGGCTTTTCATAGGAGATATAAGTGAGTAGGTGTCTGACTTCCACTAAATTTCAGTGAGATTTGGGTGCTTAGCTCCCATAGACTCCTTCAAAAATCCCTGCCTGAAGATTCAGAATCTTGCCCCTGCTCCCCAGTGGCTGGCCACAGGCCTTGCATTTCCCCCCGCAGAAACTGCAGTGGGAGCAATTGCACCCCTAGTGAAATGACATTAATAAGAACACTTAAGTGAATTTTCAAGGAATTGAAGGCATTTCCAGAAGAAATTCTAGTTCTTGCCTGTAGGCTAGCTTCTCTGCTAGTATACATCAGCATTTACTAGAGCAGTGGCAGACTGAAAATACTGAAGGCAATTTGTATTGTGGAACCCTTCAAAGACTCTGCCATCTCTTCTTTCCCGGAGGAGAGAGAGAACTCTGGATCCTGCTGGAGCACCGACTGAGAATGATGGGCTGCGCTGGCGTTATCATCAATACAACCTATCCTGCTCACCTACCACCATACAAATCAGTCAAATAAAAACAACATGACTCAATGCGTTCTGATTCACTTTCCTCTCCTCTCAATCTGCATTGCTTTGCCTGGGGAAATGGGAGGAATGGCAGACTGTAAGAGCAATATTTTCTGCCTTCACATGATAACTGTCCAGTGCTGTTCAGAGTTGGGAGGGCCGGGGGGGGGAGGTCTACTAATCAGGGGAGCCTCTGGAAAGACCTGATTTTTTAGTATACATTGAAAAGTGTGTGATTATTAGGCATGTGTAAAAAAATACATGCATATTTTTGTTATGCACTTATTAAAGCATTTAGGTACAAATGCACCCAGCACAGGGGCATCTGGGTACTATCACTGCACACAAACTGCTTAGGAAACAACTCAGGAAAGTTAGTCTAAACTTTGATTTAATGTTGAAAGTTTCTGTTCACGGACTGGGCAAAGATTTGTGCTAGGAAATATGTTATCAAAATCAGTTGACTCATCTCTAGTTTAAATCACAGTGCTTGTGTTTCTTAAAAGTTTCTAGTACTGCACATATACACTCATGTAACGTCATCTTGTCCTCCACACCAGAGGAAAATTTGAAGTAGATCCCTGAAATTTATGTCAAAAAGAAAAAGCTCTTCAGCACATATAATGTAGGAACATGAGCAAAGACAATGACCTCCCAATATACTCACGCTTCATACTTCACAGTTTCAATCTTTCACTTCACTGCCAAATACACAAGCCATCGGAATAGCTGTGAGAGCTACAGCCTGCAAAGCACTACATGGTCTGTTATCTAGTTTTAATACCTTTACCTTTCAGTGAAAGCCACTTTTAAAATGAGTTAGAGAATTAACAGCTGCCACTAAGCAAATCAACTCCAAGTAAACACAAGCATCCCATAATTTATCTAGTGGTGAGTGTTGCTCACAGGCATGCTGTCCAGCCAGAGGAAAAAGGAAACCTGTTTGCTTTTGTTTCTAAGGGAACCTCCACTCATGTGTGTCATCACGTACTTCTGCATAGGGGCTTTATAAATTAGTGCCTTCAGGCTAAGGTTGATATTTTTGTTTAAGCTGGAGATCTGAGAGGGATGATGTATTTAAGCATATAATTGCCAGTACCTGCACTGCTACACCACTTTATCTACTGGCACACTCCCAAATGTATTAGTACTCTCCAGAAGTTTTCTGTGATATTTCTCAAATGCTGTGCTAGCAAGACTGGTACTCACTCACTCTTATCTTTTTAAAACAAGAGAGAAAGACAAATACAAACTTGAAAAGAAAATTGTATGCTTACCTGGAAAATAATTGACTCAGGGGTATTTGTGACCTGACAGAAATCTCCACATAGTCTCTTTGTGTTTCAAACAAAAGGGATTTGGAGAAAGCTCTACCTATTCAATAAGACAAATTGGACACTCAAGCACAATTGTTTGCCTAACACATACAATATTCCACATTTCCATGTCCAGAAATCTTATAGCACCTCCTGCTTCATGGTAGTTGACTGTTTCTATAATTGTGGAGTCTGAATATTTATCAGAAAGAGGTGTCCCACATTACTTTGATTGATTGTATTAACGTGCTCAATCCAAGCACAGATGTCCCAGCTATTCAAATATCCCTGCTGATTTCCTGGCTGAAATTCAATACACTTGGGTACTATGGGCCAAAAATGAAGTCCTTACTCACTTTTTATTTTCTCTTTACTCGAGCAAAAGCTTCACGGGCTTCAGACTGACATTTGCCTGAACAATAACTTAGTAACTATGGATTAAGGGCTTTAGGATTTGACTCAAAGGTCTGTATGTGAAATAGGAGCACAGGACTAAGTGGAAACCAAAGAATGATGCTGTTTTACAAGTAGGTCTTATGTTCCTCACACTTTAGGACAGTAATTCTTAGCCAGGGTGCTCTGACAGCCTTTGAAGGGTGCTACTGGGAGAGAGGAGTTAAGTAAGGCTTTTCCCTGCTGGCTGCTCCTCTTTTTTCCCAGGCCCTCTGCAAGCAGGTAAGCACTATAATATAGATATTATTTTTTAAAATGAGGTAATGTTCAGTTCACAGAAGTTATGGAGAAGTGTCTCAAGTTTAAAAAGGTTGAGAACCACTGCTTTAAGGTAACTTTTTAATATTACCTTTCCCTAATAAATCAGGGAAACATACACAATGTTTATATTCATTCACAACATTACATTTTCTTTCCTCCAAGGCCTTGGCATCTGGTGCCATATCGCGTAGTTAGTACATGTTTTAGAAATGTTTACAAAGGCACACTTGAATACATGTGTTGTATTAATACATTAGAGCCAGACTGTATCTGATAGACACTGGACTACAATAGGTGGGACTGTCCCTCCCAGAGCATCCTGGTGCCTAATGGAAGTAAGTATGCTGTACCACGCAACAGAACGACACGTTGGCTCCCCTTTTCTGCACTGGGCTAGCTCAGGTGGCTGATATAAAGAGGAAAAAGCCTTATAAACCTGACTCCCCCACCCCTTCCTAGGGATGAACTGTTTCAAGGAGGTAAGAGGACAAAGTAGTACATGAAATAGGGGTGTGGAGACTACAATTACACTAACCCTGGTTAAGTCGATCTAAATATAATGTCTCCATGTACCCTAAGTGATTACCAGTGATTACCTTTAAAGATGAAAAATGTGGGAACCAGCAGGTTTACCCTTCTAGGCTGGCAAAGTGCCAGCCTATAAGGGGTTGGGGGGAGCAGGAGGAGGGAGATCAGGCAGGGTGCTCCACGTGCATGTGCACACATGCACATGGCAGCCAGGCAGCATGACAGCAGTTCCCACAGCTCCCTGCAGGTAAATCTGGGGTGAGGGGAAGAACAGAGGCCCCCCATAGGGAGGAAGTGAGGAAGAGAAGGAGTTGGGCTGGGGGCAATATATGGGGCCTGGGTAGGGAATGACTGTGAATGGGGAACGAGGGGCACCTGCCAGGCTGGGGGGCTGTGTCTTGGGAGTGGGGGGCAATGGCATGGGCAGGGCACCGGCATATCAGGGCTGCTCGGTGCCACAAAGCAGTCAGGGTGGAGGGGCAGCCACAACTGGATCCACATCCCGGTGAGCAAAGAGGGCAGGGGGAGCTCTGATTTTCCATGATAAAAAGCCTCAAATCAAACACAAAAATTCATAGGTATTTAGAATTTATTTTACTAGAGTGATTGAGGCACAAGTAGGCTTCAAAATTACTTTAAAACTGTAAATATATCAATAAAATATTGTGTTGAACTGATACCTCTATATATAGTGGCATTTTATTTTAATCATGGAAAATGTGGATTTGGGGGGTTTGGGGTTTTTTTAAATTAGGGAATTTGTGTGTGGGTTTGTTTTTTTTAAATCAGAGAATTTGCAATTTTTAAACTGAGAAAACCAGGACCCTTGAATTAGACCCCAGTTCTGGCACACTTAGAGAGTAGACAAGTAACTCTTACATAACTCTACAGAAACAAACAGAGCTATATCTGCTTTCACTAGAGCAGAATTTGTCCAAGTTTTTCAATACAATAGTTTAATTTTAAAGTACCCTTTACATTTTTACAATCCACTTTCAAAAATAGCTGTAATATGCCTTGTAGACATCTCATCTCATAAAATACATGGGGAACATGGCACAGGGGACACAATGGTAGGAGTCTACTACAGACCTCCTAATCAGGAGCAAGAGCTTGACCGGGAATATGCCAGGGAACTGGCGGAGGCTGCAGGGGCTTGGCGCATGGTTGTCATGGGAGACTTCAACTACCTGGACATCTCATGGGAGGAGCGCTCAGCCAAATCCGAATGGTCACAAAGCTTCCTCACATGTGTGAATGAGCTCTATTTGACACAAGAAGCCTATGCACCGGCAAGAGGTAAAGTGCTGCTGGACCTGGTACTGACCAAAGAGGATGATCTAGTCAGTGACCTAAGAATTGAAGGAAAGCTG